GGATGAAGGGGCTACACGGGGACAGCCTAGACATGGGAGGCAGTGAGCACACAGCAGGCACTTGGTGGTTGGTCTCTGAACAGAGCTGTGCCAGGTTGTCCCAGGGAGGGTAAGAGTTGCCCCTCCACACTGTCCTCCACATGTGCAAGCAGCCAGCATCCCATCAGAGCCAGGGCTGCTCCCTGTCTGGGGCCATGTCTGTCCTGTGGGCCCAGCTCTGGATACTTATGGATTTGTATAAAAAGGAGTCTGACTCATTCATGCCATGGAGGGGGGGCCCATTTTTGTCATTTTCTTCTTTTTTGATGTGGATTTTTTCCCTCTGGTTATTCTAGTACCTTATCTAGAAAGATCAAGGGACATTGTGATCTGAAGTCTCACAAAGTCTAACTGGGGAAGATTCAGCTCAAACGGGGGTCATGTGAGTTAAGAACTGTTTTAAACACAAGTGCAGCCATAACTCCTTGAAGCGGGGCCTTGCCTGAGCAGCTGTGACAGGCAGATGGACCCTGAGTTTGGGGGGTGGAGGGGTTTTGCAGTTTTGGCCAGGTCCAGGCTCAAACCCGCCACCCCCAGTACATGGGGCTAGTGCCCTACTCCTTGAGCCACAGGTGTCACCCAGGACCCTAAGTTTTTCTCACCACACAGGTGGTGGGCCAGGGGTTCAGCAAGTTTCAAGTGCTAGGCCTGTTCTCAGGCCGTCAGCCGGGGCTGGCTCAGTGCTATCCATGAGTCCAGGCTAGACTTATAAGTGAAACAATGTTCTTCCCTTCATGGAGCTTACTGTTCGATCTGAGAACCTGCCTGTCACCTGTGAGACAGCAGAGAAAGCGAGCATGACAGCCCCTGATCAGCACCGAGTGTATCACAGAGAGTCCTCACTGGGAGCCACACTGGCTAGGCAGAGCTTTGGGGATGGTGACACCTGGACTGCGACTGGGCCAATGTGAGGGGAGAGGACAGAAGTTATGCAGTTCTCAGGCACCAAAGCTGTGAAAATGTGGCAGGGCCATCAGCAGAGCTGGGTTCCCAAACTACAGGGAAGTGAGGGCTTCTGGATGGATGCTGGAGCCTCCCATGATGTGCTGGGGCAGGAAGGGCCCTCGAGCAGAGGAGAGCCAGGCCCACTGTGTATGCGAGAGGACCCTGAGTCGGGCCCCAGGACGGACCATCCACACTCTTTTTTTCTTAGTCACTAGTTAAATCCTTGCTTGTCATACAGAGCACAAAGAAATTAATGTCAGTCCCCATAGACACCCTGTCCAGAAACAGCCACTGTTCATGTGTCAGTGCGTTCCTCCGAGTCTTCCTGTGCCCATCTCACAGGGCTGCTCTATACCCGCACTGTGCGGCTGGTTCCTTTCTTCACATAGCAGCAGCCACAGCACTTTTGGTGCCTCTGATATTCCTATTTTGCTTAGATAAATGACACTGTGATGATGATGCACTTGTACATAGTATCTGTTTTCTTAGAACAAGTCCTGGAAGAGGAATGAAAAAGATATTAGTATCACTGAATAAAACTGGACGAGATGCCAAATGTTTATGGCCCCCAAATCTTCTCATGTACATACATGAAAGTTTTTATCTGGTGATGCTCCGAGGAGGCACACATGTCAAGGGAAATTAATCAGAATGTGGTGTTTGGCTGGAGATGGGCCATCAGTAGAGTACCAGGGTCTGCGTACCACTGCAGGGGGCTGTACTCGGGCCATAGGCAGGTATAGAGAGTATCTCCTGTTCCCTGAGCAGCTGCAGACACTGGCCTAGCCCAGGAGGCACCTCAGTCATCCCTAAGTGGTAAGGTACAAACAATCATGACCTCACAAGATAGGTTCAGTGTTTGGTGGGAGGGAGGGCGTGGGATGGGACTATCAAAAAAAAGAGGGAAGGTCCCATGCCCACTGTAGCTGGGACAGCAAACTCAGCCTACACCTCGGAGCCCAGGAGGGGCTCAGTAGGAGCAGAGAAAAGGCTCTGGTGTGAACAGGGTGGTTCACCCTCAATGGGTAGACACCTGCCAAGGGTGTGAGCCCAGGGCTTCCCTGGTGGACAGCTTGGTCACCAAGCAGGTGAACACTCACAGCCCTGCTAGGTTAATTAACATGGGTGTGAGGGTACAAGCTGTGTGACCTGGGACAAGAGGTGGCACTGCTCTGTGCCTTGATTTCCTCTTCTCTGCAGCCAGGATAAGGGTGGCACCCTCCTTATAGAGTTAACCAAGGAATGAATGAGCTAATAGGAGAAGCTGTGGGGTAGCAGCTCCCAGGCCACCATCATCTCCTTGAGTTATACTTGTAGCTAGTTTTCACTTGGCTCTGTGTTCCCAGCCTCCAGCCAGGGTAGGTGCCCCAAGCTCATGGGCTCCGGAGTGGGGCAGGGCACTGACACAGGCCTTGCAGGAGGGTTCGCTGGGGACCGTTCACTTCTGACTCAACCTGCCCACCTGAGCGGCCTCCTGGGGAAAATGTCCCTGAACCCCCTGCCAGTGTGCCCCTGCTTTGTCCACTTCAGCTATGTGAGTAGCACCAGGTTCTCAGTGCTCAAGAGTCGATGCTGCATGTGGCATCTGGGACTTTCAAGGAAGACAGGTCATATCGTGTTTTCTTTGGAAACGTTTTAACCAGAGGTTGCCATTAGCCCAAACATAAAAAGCTAAAATTACCCTTACAATCATGGATATTGAGAACATCAGAATTTGCAAAAAATGGGAAGGGGGCTGCTGTGTACTCCGGGTCTCTGAAGTGAGTGAGTAGCCTCCCTTTCCCAGGTCATGGTTCACTTGGAGCAGAGCCTGGTCCCTTAGCTGGGGTCTGGCTCCTCAGACTTTAAGAATACCTTAGTGTGTGTGTTCAGATAGCCCTGATAAATCCCAGAAGCCACTAGCCGTGTTTTCCCCTAGATGCCGGCTAATGTTTAGGGGAAGTAAGGAGATGTAGCTCAGAGCAGACGCTAACAGCAGGTTGCTGTATTCTGAACTGAGCATTTCTTAGTGAACACACTAAATTTGACCTTTTGCTATTCAAAGTCATTTGGCTTCTGTGTTTCCTAGTCTTTTATTGTTAGGTTACCAAAATGTTTAAAGATCTGTCTTTTTGGTGTTTAGTGTCATTTTGAAATTCAAAAGAAGTATCAAACTAATAGTGTGCCTGTCTTAAAGACTGAGGTGAAGTCAGTGGGAATCAGCTTCTGTTCCCTGCTCTGGAGCCCTGGCCACATTCCTTCTTATTGGGGCTTCTGGCAAAAGCAGTTGACAGGCTGAGATCCCTGATGGCAGAGGCCACCCAGCCACAGGTGAGCACAGCCCTTCATCCCCCTCCCAGAGTGGCACTACTGACCAATGTCTCTCCCCCACAGACTCCGCCTGCAGCAGCGCCCCGGGCTCCGGGCCCAGCTCACCCAGCAACAGCTCCGGGAATGTCAGTACTGAGAACGGGCTCACCCCCACCGTCCCCAGCATCCAGGCTGAGGTCAGTGCCAAGCTGCTGTCTCTGTTCTTTGTCTTGTGCTAGGCATCACTTAAAGGGACTACAGTGACCCCACTTTGTACTTGCTCTTCCCTCGTGAATTTCCAGTGTGGGGGAGGGAAACAGATGTGGGGGCTGGTCTTAAAAGGCCAAATTTAGACTCTGTCCTCGAGTTCATCACAAACATCACCTGTAAATGTGAACACGTCAGTTCAGGGTGTGGCAGCGGGCAGCCCGCGTGCGGACCTTTCTCCTAGCCTCTTCTGGAGCCTGTTCTTAAGGCTGCATCACAACGTAAGGGCACAAGTGGATGACGCTCTGAGCAGACAGGACCCCTGTGCTCAGCTCCATGGTCACTGGCACACCACACAGTGGTAGGGAGGCAGCAGGCACATGGGAATCATGTGCTTTTTTTGGATTGAGAAGTACACAACTAAAACAGTTGGCCTACAAGCCCCGGGTCAGGACAGACTAGAGCATTGTCACCTGTGGTCAGCAGTACCAAAGTGGCTGAATCTTGAGAGATGGGAGCTTTGGAGGCACCAGAGGAACCAGGACTCCCAGACCGCAGGGTTCAGCACCTCTGGTCTCCTGTCTTTGTGGATCCTGGGGGGTGCCATGGTCTAGGAGGAGCACTAGCACACACCGGTGTTCACTGGAGAGGAAGGTGGGAGCCCTGAGCTGGCGCAGTCACCGCCCTAGCACTGTGGGTGTTCATTGCGCTCCTGGAGCCAGGTGGGAAGCTGAGGGCCTGCTTCCACTCAGCTCTCAGCAGGAAAGAGAGGCAGGGAGCAAGGAGGCAGAGAGGTGTACAGTGGGCAGGGCCTGGCCGGGGGCTGTGGGGGTGACTGCAGGGTTGCGAGGGGCACGTTGCCGTGAGTTTTCTGATGAATTGAGTCATAATTAACGTGCTCCATGCACCGGAGAGTTCTGGTGAGTAAGAGATTCTTTTCAAGTTCTCCCTAACTTACAGAAGGCTATAATTTATTAAATACAGTTATTTACTTGCCTTCTTAAATATTTAGAAATGAATCCTGCCCTTCCACAGGGTTGGCAAATTTTAGTTGGGATATACAGGCACTTAGCATTTTCATTTCAAATTTCTAGCTTTTATGTTTAAAAAGATTAGAAACTGGATTTAGTGCAAGGAATAAATCTGGCCGCTGCCTCTGGGTTGCAACGCCCCCCTCCATTTTCTCTTCCTTCTACTTTATACATTTGTTTATTGCATGTCTTCTTCAGCCAAGCAATTTAAGTACATATGTCAGTGATTCAGGGTTTTAACAACCCTCCATGATGACTAAGTCACCACTGAGGTCCCAGGTCAGCCTTGGAATGAGCCTAAGAGCAGGCCCCTCCCAGTCAGGTCCTGTGACCGAGGTCAGAGACGCACTTTCATCCAACCCTGGCAGCCGGGCACCTGGCAGGCAGTATTGTAGCGGTGCCTTATTTGGGGGGTCTCCGTGTTCCAGTTACATGTGAATTTTTACAAATCACTGGATATGTAGACTAAGCTGCTATGAATTAACAAAACATGTAGGAAGAGTCACAGGAAGTACAAGCAGTGCAGGTGCTCCTGTTCTGTCTTGGGGCTTCCTCACCGCAGGAGGAGGTGGCCTCTGAACACTTGATCATACACCCACGTCCCTTGAGGATTGCAGAACCCTTAGAATCAGATAGCTCTCTGAGAACCTTGCCTTCTGGCCGGGCCACCTTTTCCTTCTCAGGTGGTCTAGAGCTGCAAGCCTGCCCGGCAGATGGCCATGTCATACAGGGGGCCCCAGCCTAGCGCTCTGTGCCTTCTTTTGTTATTGAGCCTTGGGATACACTTCTGTGTCTCAAAGACCCACTGAGCCCAGAGAAGCTCAGCACCTCCACACCCCTTCCTTACAAGAGAGAGAGCAGGGCCTGGAGCGCCAGAGGGGTGCTCTCCCACTGCTGGGAGGATGGCTCCTGTGTGCCCAGTGCTTGTCAAGATCCAAACGAGTGTGTGTGTGTGTGCACATGCACGTGCGCCACAGGTGCCCTGACCTCAGGACCCTGGACTCTAAGGAAACCCCAAGGGGCTCCCCGGAAGCAAATGAGCACATGCAGATGAGGGACAGTGGAAACAGCTCCTTCCCCAGGACACCTCCCTGTAGGGCTCTAGCCAAAGTCAGGGGACACCAGGACGCGCTGGGACTGTGCATGTGGGTCAGCTGACACCTAAGTGTTTCTTGGAAGCCTGCTTTGTTGCCAAAAAAAATAAACCAAGTGAAAACAACCTTGGTAATAGAGGAAATTATAACTTTGCAAACCTAAGAATAGCCACTCATTTTATTCCCAAATAATTATAAACAGTGGAGTTGTACTTTCCTGACCTCCCAGGCATTTTCTCTAAATTTACAATTTACTGATATTGCTGTCATAAAAGTGGAATCATTAGTGATATGATTTCATATCTCATCCCAGCGTTTTCTCTGGGATGAGATAAACTTCTAAGTGAAGAACACCATGAGTTTCTATTTTGCCCTGTGACATGGAGATAAGACTTGACAGACAGTGTTGTTCAAGCACCCACTGACCACATGCATGCCCTCTTTTGAGAAGTGTCTGTTCGTGTCTTTTGCCCGGTTTTGTTGTTGGTTTTTTTAAGTTCCTTATATATTCTTGATAGTAGATCCTGACCAGAAGAGTTGTTTGTAAGTGTTTTCTCCTATTCAACAAGTTGTCTTTTCAGTCTGTGGACTGCTTCCTTTGCTACACAGAAGCTTTCAGTTTGACATAGTCCCACTTGTCCATTTTTGGTTTTGTTGCCTTTCTTGTGTGTGTGTTTTTGAGACAGAGTCTCACTTTGTCACCCTCGGTAGAGTGCTGTGGCTTCACAGCTCACAGTAACCTCCAACTCTTGGGCTTAGGCGATTCTCTTGCCT